CTCTCCCCGACCCTCCCGTCTGACGTGGCCTGTGCACCAGGGGTACAGCCCGGAGCGGGTAATGCTGATGGACACCACTCTTCCCTTAAAATTAGGTTTTTCAGTACTTTTCATGTGAAAACATGCTCACCAATCTCATATCTTGTAGGGATGTGAACACAAATGTCACCCCAAGTTCACTGCAGTGCTCCATCCAGCAAAGACCTGAACCCCGCACTGCTGGTGTCGCCTCTCTTTAGAAATTTACAGATCCTAACAGAAGGTGAATGGCCACAGTCTCCCACTGCACTGAAACCTGAACTTCGGACGGATGCAACTGACGATGAAACATCCACAGGGCAGTCTGTTTCTAGCCAGCCCTCACACAAACTATTCCACACAACCATTGAAGCCTTGACCTCAGCTGCCACGGAGCCAGAGCCAAGGGGCTCCCGAAGGAGCGGGCAGATGCCATTCCCACCGGAGCTGCCCACCGGGGCAGCCGGGCTCCCTGCAGCTGAGCGCTGCCCGCCGGGAGGGCTCACCGCCATGGCCACTCTGCCCCTGGCGCTCTCCAAGCGTTTGTGAACAGTCTCTGCCAGAGACAGCAAGAACGGACCCTTGATCTGAGCACAGCCAAGCTTTGCAGCGTGGGGCTGGAGGAGATGCAGGGCGCCAGGGACCTTTCCCTCCCTGCCTGTGCAGAGAGCGGCGCGCAGCCCTCCCTCCCTCCCCCTGCACAGCCTGCCGCACTGCTACCGCTCTCCCTGCTGCAGCCGAGGTATTTTTATCTCTCCTGAGTCAGAAACCGACGACAAGCACAGTTTGTCACAAGCTTCTGGGTGGAATTGGTATGTGCTTTGCAGCTGGATCACAGTGTTCCAGTTTAGCTCAGCCCTGCCAATACAGCTGAGATTAGTGCTCACTGGGAGCCCCTCTTCTGTTCCCTTGTATGGCCACCCATAACCTTCCTGACAGGTTTTAAAAGTCTGCTGGGTTTCAGCAGAGGGTCATGGTGCAGAGATTAAGGATCAAGGCTGGTGCTGCACTAAACACTAATCTGCAAGACAGCTAAGAATTGAAACACTGATCTCCTGATCATACAGGAGAATGCTGTCAGGTGCTACTGGCTCATAGAGGGGTCTGACTCAGTTCCTGGTTTCAATGCAGGAGGCTGCTTGATCCATCCTATCTAGAAATACTTTTCCAATGACTACTTCAATCTTGTCTTGCTTTTAATCACTCCTTTTTAATGCAGGCGAATGCTCCTCTGGCATTTTTCTGTCCATCTTTGCAAGTACATTAACACTCCATGGCAACAGAAGATCAAGAAAACTGAGATGACGAATAAGAGATGATAAAAACCTGACACTTTATCTACACAAAGTGTGAAAATAGCATGGACTCAGGGGAGCAGCCTCCTTTCCTTTCCCTTCCGCTAAAGTCACTTCATGGTTTAATTCCCAAGAACTGCATCAGATGTAAGTCCTCATGGAATAAGGTGGACCTACACCTGCCCCAGAGGAGTCATCCTCTCCAAACAACTTTGAGTGACAACAGGCTCAGGAAGTAAGTCATGATTTGTAAAAACATTTCATTACGCTCTTCTCTGCAACCCAAAATTTCTCTTATTTTTAAGGGGAAAAAATGCCTCACCAAAGCTTCATATCGGAAATAAATTCTTTTAAAATGGAATTTGTTGAAAATAAACAATGCAGTGATTTTCAACAATAAATTTACTATCAGAATCAACTCATTATTTTGTGTAATTCCACTTAAGAAGCACGGTAAAGCAGGCTGAATTTCCCTTTCAATCACTGTAGTGCACATATCTGGTTTTTGGCATACTTACTCCTTAATCGTCAGCTTCCCTTTTCCTAATTCTGAAGAACTGAGTTATTTCCAATGGCTCTTTAGAGTCACGCTAGTAGAAACAGATCTCTGGATCCTGGAAAATTAAATCTAAGAATGCCAATAAAAAGGTAAGCAAAACTACCCAACAGGGAAAGGTCCTATCTCGTGGTTGTAATTATGAAAATGTGTTATAATCTGGAAAGTAGTTATACGATTATGAATTTTAATTTTAACACTGCTTTGTGTTACGGTACTCTAACAGAGACTGCTTATTGGTTTGACATAAATCAGCTTCCCATTGTTCAATGCACAGCATTTTCTGCTGTTTACAAATAAAGGAGTCCTGGCCTCACCACCTACCCTCTCAGCCATTTGCCTGGGCTATTTGCTCTACAGTAGTGTACACCAGAAACAGAGATTGAAACAAAGTTGAAGCCATTAAGCCAGCAACAGAAAAATTAAAATGTATACAACTGCTTGTAGATGACACAATTTTATAACGGGTGTGCTCATTCTTCTGCCATTGCCTAACTTTGGGTGTTTGGCTTTGCAAAGCAGTGCTTCCCTTTACACACACCAAATCCCTCATTTTGAAAATCAAACTGAAGAATGAAATTTCTGTTGTGCACACCTTCCTGACAACAGTTTGGGTCATCAGGCAGGGCCAGATCTTTAACTTTTTAGTGTTATGTGAGATAACAAAGCAAGAGAGAGCGAGCCACTGTCCTCAGGCAGCCCTAATCACTGCAGAGATGAGTCACCCTGAGAGCAAACCAGTGAAGGCAGGGACCTGGGGCTTAACTCAAATCCTCCAGGAAGCTATCAAGCTGTCCACTCCCAAGGCACTCTCCTGTTCCAGGCTCTCTGTGTTGTCTCTAGTGCCTGTAACCTGCAGGTCCTGCTCCTCTTACACCTTGGACTGCTCTCCACCAGTGGCTCCTGCACTCCCACCTGCCAGCAAAGTCTCCATCTCCAGAGCCTTTCATTTTCCAACAAATTATCTTTGTAACTTGCTCTGCCTGAAGATACTGTCTGCTACATACTGGATGAAAAAGAGGTAAAAATCTGAAGAGGAAAGTAATTTCCTTTCCACTTTCCTACCTCTTAATTTTTTGGGGTTTTTTTAGCAATTGTGAGTGACACACATTTGCAATCACAATTGCAAGTGCAGGGAGGAATATGCTGTGCAGACTGCATGAGGAAGGAAACTGCAAGGCTGTCATTCTTAAATTTAATTTCAGGATGTGATTTCACAGGACTGAGGTGAACTAAAAAGAGAATGACTGGAAGCAACAGCTGAGCAACTTCTCAGCAGGGCATGCAACCAGAGCAGCCTCAGTCCTGTACATTTTAGTGATTTAAGCACTAAAAAGTCAAACCCAGCAACACAACAGGCTTTAAACCATGGCATCTGTTTAGAGGTTCTACAAGTTAAGTATGGACTGAAGGGTGGGAAAAAAAAAAAAAGAAATAAAAGACTGTAATGTGCTATTTCAAATGTTCCCATTTGTTGTAAAACCTCAGCTGTAGGAGTGGTTCAGTCTAGGTCCTACTGGGACTGCACTTTCCTTACTTTCCCCTGGAGCAGTCCTTCAGGGTGTAGGAGAAACAGCTGTTCTCGGGAGCACTACCTGCTCTCAGTGTTAGCTGGATAATGTATGCGTATTTTCTGCTACTAATCTCCCAATCAGTAAGTCTGATTATAAAGCCTTCACAGAATTGATTTAAAAGTCATCTGCGACTTGCAGTAAATTCCAATTAGTCACTCTCTGAAAGACACATTATGTAAGTTTAATCCAGTCACACAGTTCAGTCAACATTGTACAAATTATCTTTCTAAAAAGGGAAATCAATGCATTCCCATTTGTGGAGTAAGAAAGTGAAATTACTTCAGGAACAAAAACAAACCCAAAACCAAACCCCAAGCAAAACAAAAAAATTCAAGTAAGGTTAAGATCACAGGTCCTAGAATTACCAGATTAGAGTTGATCAGTTGATCCTGAAGCTCACCTGCATTTCCAATACAATGGAATGTTTCGTTTTCTGAGCACCTGGCTCCACTATCAAATACATAATCATGTTTTCTTCAGAATGCATAGTACGCTGTAGGCTTTTCATTCTCAAATGGTATTTTCATGTTGTTATGACTAAATATGCCTTTATTCTTTCAGAATGTATATAAAATATGATCCCTTCCCTGCATTTTAATAATAATCAGCAGTTATTTTGCAAGCAATTTTTAAAAACATCAAAGATGATGCCCTATTGTACATGTATCAAGAAACAAGACACTTGGTTTAGTATGCAGTGAGCCACTGTACATTTTGCAGTATTCTGTTTCACTGTACAGCTAACTGAGCCAAACGCATATGCTCAGAAAAATCCCTGCTTGTATGAACACTTTATGAGCATATTTTATGGCCTCAGTACATGATTTTCAAAAGCTAATCAGTCAGATTGTGAAACTGAGCCCAATTTCCTCAGTGCTGCTCTTGGTAGAAGTTTGTTCCAAG